GCAATTCCCTGCCCTGTGACACAAAAGTCTGGACACTTTTTCAACACAATAAACTAGGGAAATTATTGGGCTCACTATTTGGTTCCCTGACTCCTGGGAATAATTGTCCTTCATTGACTGGTATTCAGTGTCTTGAGGACCATTGATTTTGTCCATATTTTATTTGTTTGACGTGATGGTAAGTCTCTGTTACTCCATTTTGGCTACAAGTAAACGTCTTAGATCTGCTTTTTCTGTCCTACTGGTCCTCTCTCTACGCTTCTTTGTTTTTTCATATGCATCTTCTGCTCAATACTAGCTAATGTTGAAAGTCTTATGCATATACTGGAATCAATATTACATCCATCTCCTAGAGTGACTGAAAATGGAGCATAAAGGTTTTAATTTTCCTAGTCTACTTGTTTTTCCTGAAAGCCTAAAAGAGAATGTGAAAGATGTTGACATTCTTAAATAAAGCCATTTCAGTTTCTATTTCAACAGTAGCTAAGGGCATGCACAAATCCTAGATTCTCATTTAAGTAGAATATATTGGGGCATATTTAATGCCAGTAAGTTTCTTAGGCCATTTGATGTTTCCAGGTCATCATATATGGGGGCTGCTATAGCCAATTAATCTTGATAATATTTTTAGTATTATTCAACAACTGGAAACATTTTCTCTGAAGTTTTGTGGCCATTATAATCACCATTATTAGTAGTAAAATTACCTTTCTCTAATGAGGCAAAATGCACTATGTCCTGGGGTAGTGGGTTCAAGAGACAGAATGCGAAAAGCATAGTGTGATTTTCCCTTCTTTATTATTAGTCTGTTCACTCCAGCCCCAAGTCTTCACCTCACCTTCTACTACTACTTAGAAATTTTGCTCCTTTGGTGCCAAATGAGGAAGTTGAAGGCCCATTTTTGCCATCCAAAGTTATTCATATATTCATGTAGCCACAACAGAAAATGGACCAGAGGAGGAGTATAGAATAAAGTTCTAGAGCACATGATTTGGAATGACACAAATCAGAATTTGAATCTTAGTTCTACTGTTTATTAGATTTAGGCAAGTCACTTAAACTCTCTGAACTATTTTCCATCTGTAACATGGAGGTTATCATAAATACATCATTGTTTTATTAAGGGTTAAATAAGTATATGAATTTAATTTCTCAGCCCAGTGCCTGACATCTTGCCAAGCATTACTATCATTATTATTGATATTATGTTAATAATATATTGCAATTATAATTTATAATGAGAAAAGGTTAGGAGTCTATTTTTCCCTCCAACAGCCAGTTCAGCATTACCAGTGTCTTGTTCAAGACTTCCAAAGGAATGTGCCAAGCTCAGGATTTATTGCCATTTTGATTATTTAGTATTCACTGAGCACTGAGAGAATGCAGCATTTGTGGGAACACAGAAGGAGGTAGGGGCAGCCTCTCCCACTCTGAGTGGAGAAGGAAACCTGGAGCTGGCTGGATGTGTGGCTGAGAACAGTACAGCCAAAAAAGACCATCTGGACCAGTGCAACCAGGGTTCCCAGGAAATCTGTGGGGCCTCTGACTAAACTAAGTTATTTGGCTTCTAATCAACTTAACATTAACATTCTCCAAGCCCTCCCGTCTAAGATGCTAATTTATCCTAAAGAGGCATGCGAAGTATAGGCACCCACATCAATCAAACTGCTCTTTTCTTCTGCCTCGTCTCACTTCTGTCAGCTAGGTTGATCCCCTGGAAAACAGAGACCTTAAAATAAAGTAAAACCTTCCCTTAAAATAAAGTAAAACCCTAATTTGAATGAACACCACTGCCAAACCCTCGCTTTGAGAGCCCTGAACACAGTTGGGGACTTAAGGCCTTGCCAGTCCAATAATAATTCTACTGAAAAAATGCTAAATTCCCTTTCTTTTTAGAAAAAGGGCCAAGCATTGCTTCTAGAATTGCCCAGTCCATGACCTCCTAACCTTCCAAAAATTGCTTTAAGGCCGAAGGTGTTCTGAATTCTGGACATAACATTAGTACAAAAGCTGTCCCCTCCAACAGGTTGACTAGTGACAGGGTTCAGTTCTAAGTCACAAAATGCATCCTGTAATTGCTTTCTTTACTTTATTACCTGCTTCAGCCCAGACAAATGGTATTCAGGGAAGCCTAAGGGTATCCACTTTCCCACAGAGAATTAAGCAAGACCTTCTTTTTAAAACCCTATCTTATAAATTTGACCCATTTCACCTAAAATGCTGAGGGAAATTTCAGATCAGACCCTCTGCCTCATTTTTCATGGTATTATCTTTACTTCCCCAGATACAGTGACAGGCACATGGAAGGTGCTTGGTCCAATGTCTGCTAAATTCAGTACAACCAAAAGAACCATTCCTCAGCTTCCATGGGTTTTTATTTGCAACTTTAGCTCCACTGGCATTTATTTCCAAACTTCATGGTCAGGTAGTATTACAGGAAGGTCTCAAAAGCAATTCTGCATAACTAGACAAGCAAATAGTCAATGTAGATATGAATGTGTGTGCTCTAGACATGTTGTAAGTTGGAGAGGGGAGGAGGAATATTTGTAGTCCTATGAAAATAGGTAAATCTATTGTAAAATGTCTACAATATGTTGCCACAGGAATCATTTCAGTTAATAATGATACTAACTGCTGATTATATGATGGTTGATGGTTCACAAAGGACTTTTGCCTATGGTATCTCATTTGATCTCCATAACAACTGAAGGAAGTAAGAAGGATCAGGATTCTTATTCCTGTTTTATCCATGGGGAAGCAGAGCTCCTAGAGTCAGCTGTGAGCAATTTACAGTGATGGAATTGGCCATGTTGACACTTCTCCTGCTACACTCCCTATCACATATTCTCAGCTGCTCCTGATGCTTCTCTTCTTAAGAGCTCAATCCAGGATCACTGAATCCACTCCTATACTTTAAAAGTTGACATACTGTATAATCATTTATTGAATAAATTATCCAGTGATGACTTAGATAGTAGGCACCATAATAGGTTGTGGAGGAAGAGAAAACATTAAATAAGATAAAGATCACTGTTTTTGCAGAACTCAAAGTCTACTTGGAGAAGTCAAAATTGTAAATATTTTTGTGTAATGTGGTAAGTCCCTACAAAGTGTTCAATAAGCAAAGAAGAGAGAAGAATAAACTTTTCTGAGAGTGGAAGTCAGTGAAACTTCAGAAAGGGTTGATCTTTGGCAGGGCTTTAAACGATAAATAAGAGTTTCAAGGCAGAGAAGAGAAAGGAAGAGCAGGGAGGGTATTTGAGTAAGGGGAAATGAGCGCAGGCATGGAGTCATGAACAAATATGGCCTACTTATGAAAAGATGAGCAGCTCAGCGTGTTACATTATAGGATATTTGGGAGAACTGGTAATAGGTGAGACTACAGAATAAAATCAGGCCAGATGGTTCCATACTGAGACATCTAGTTCCTAAACCTCTGCATTATATATATTTTCAGAATTTCATTTTTTAAAAAACAAGTTTTGTAAATAAGCATTTCACCTAAGTACTTGGTCAGTACCAAGCACCAAGTACACCAATATTTGAAATGCCTTCTGTGGAAGAAGGCCAAGTTTGTTCCAAGACAGGCGTAGATAGGATATGGACCTGGAGATCAATAGTGGAGATTGTCTGGGTGCTGTGGCTATTTCTGGGTGGCCACATGAAGAAAAGGGACAGCTTGTGCAGACCCAGAGAAGTAAGCCATGTCAAAAAAAAAAAAAAAAAAAAGATGGTTCTAATTTATTATAATCTTATAATCTTATTTATATGTTGGCAATGGCAGATAGCAGAAAGACTCCGAGGAAGAGATGTGTCTCAAGAGCATGGAGATGGGATGGACTAATTCTCCAGTCTCCCACCTCTCCACCTGATGATTCTCCTACACTGACTGTGGGTTATATTTCCCTGTTTAGTGCTTTGCAGTGAGTGTATGTGGATAATAAGTATTAAATGCCAAACAAATAAATAAATATGTGAAGCACTTCTTTACAAGGAATTTTGGGATACTTGGTACCTCTTTGACAAATTTGGTAGAAAATGTATTTTGCCAAAATAATACAAACCTAACTAAAGAATTGCAGCCTGCCACACTTTGGCTGTGGTTCTTCTTCCTTTCAGTCAAGAGCTTTGCACTTACCATAAAATTCTAGCTCCTTCTCATGGCCTACAGGGCTTTTGCCCAGTCCAGCCCAGATCACCCCTCTTCCCCCAGCCTTGCTCGCTACACTCAGTACATCTGCTTGTTTTTCTCAAGGCTGCCAGGTTCTTCCTACCTGTGGCCTCTGTCCAAGCTATCCTTCCTTTTCCTCCTCCACTTTGCATGGCTGGCTCAGCCCAAATGTCACCTCTTCATAAAGGTCATGCAGATACAGCTGCCTCGCTCTAGCCCTCTCCCAATTATTACCATATCCATTGGTTTTATCTCTATCTTACCACTTACCACTATCTGAAAATGTCTTATTTTGGTCTTTGTTTGTTTTTTGTCCATATCTCCCACTATAATGTGTCATTATTACCGGGATCCCCATGTTCACCACAAGGCCTGGCACAGCATAGTCACCCATTAAATAAAAAAAGTGAAAGAAAAAGCAAAGGTAGTTTTGGGGAGAGTCAAATTCTGCCTCTATTGGCATCAATATTTCAAACACCCCAATTTCTACTTGACTTTTCCAGTTATGGAAAGAAACAGCCATATATTATCTCACTTTCATCATATTATTTTAATATCCTTCATCTAAGTAACTTGTGAATCAATTTTATATCTTTACCCCCAACTCCTGACCCTTCACTCCACCCCATTTTCCTCCCCATGTCCCCATTCTCCCCCTTCATGTCCCCATTCTCCCAATCTAGTCTATTTCTGTGAGTGATAGGGAAGGAATGTACACTTAGCTCGCTATCTAGTATAACGCCCTTCCATACCAAGTACCGCACTAAGTACTTCTTTTTTTTTTTTTTTCTTTATAAACCACTTAACATATTTACTCTTGTACACAGACTATTCAAGAAAAACAAAATGGTAAATTTAAGAGTTCAGACATCTTAGACAAGACTTGACTTCTGGGCTTCAGCAAAATGTGGAAACTTTTTAAGAAGAATTTTTGCTTTCTTTCTCTCTAAATTTTCCTTCCGTGCTTTGATGCGGGCTCGTTTCTCACATTCCAGTCTGAGAAAATGGTCCACATAAGGCATGACAAAGAATCGTTTCCTATTGTATCTTTTATTTAGGTGCCAAGGTATAACCCACTGCTTGAACTTGTGCCAGATGATTCTTCCAAAGATGTCTCTTCTCCAAGCACCAGGTCTAGCTCTTTCTTGACCAGTCTGAAGAAGCCTTAGGGCATCTTCTCTTTCCTGGACAACTTTATCTAATGCATCCATGGAATCTACTACCTTATCTAACTGCTCTGGACTTGGCATTGGCAATCTCTGCCGCTTGGCCTCCTGCTCTAGGGTTAAAATCATGTTTCTTTCCTTCAGTAAGACATACGACAATTTGTGTAAATCTTCATTACTTTTGTTCCTTAGTTGCTGACAGGTCCATGCTGCTCCAGATTTTACTTTTTCTTGCCCCCAGTTTTTTGGGTCATCAAAAAATTCTTCTAGTCCTCTTCTTGACAATGTAGTATGAAATAATCTATATTGGTGAAAGGATGTCACATTTGGTGTACTCTTAGGCAACAAACCAAGAGAAAACCCTGTGCAGGCAGGGACCTGAGGAATTATTAACGACCTGGAAGCTTTCAGGGCAGCTGAGACTCTCCTGCAAAGAAAGGCCAAACCTGCCGCAGCCATGTTTTCGCATAACCCGCACTAAGTACTTCTTAAGTATGATCTCTGAATCTGATTTATTATAAACACTTTCTGAATATTGCCAGACCCTACACATTTGCATTATAACTGTTCCACTTACCTATTTCCTTTAAAAAAAAAAAAAAAACTCCTTTTTGCCTTCTATCTTTTCACCTCCTATTTATTTCTACCAATTCCCTAAAATAGTTGTATATCCAATAGAACGAATGTAATTTTAAAGGTCCTTTGATATATGCCACAACAATTTTTATGGCATATTTTGATCACTTGGTTCTTCAAATAGTCCATCAATCTTTCATTTTAAGTAAGGAATGCATGCCTTCTAGGACACCATCAGTGATGTTTTAAAAGCAGGGATTTAGTTCAGAGAAAAAGAAATGTTAATGCTCTCAGTTCACATTATACACCAGCCATTGTGCTGAGAGCAGCACATTAGTTATCTAATGATTACAATAACCTTGTGATATAGGTGTCGTTTTCCCCATTTTATTGTGAGGTAACTGAATCCTGCTTCACAATGTGGCCAAAACCATGCAGCTAGAAAGAAGATGTACTGGATTAGAAGCAGAGGCTGAGTGAATATAATGTTAGAGGTTAGACACAGATGTCTGGTGTTTACAATGAAACATCTGAAAGAATTAAAATGCTTCATTATCTTATTGATAACTATTGAGGTCTGCTAGAGGAAGGTGTGTTCCTGCAGATAACTTAATAATACTACTCTGTGCTGGGCCCAGTGCTAGGTGTTATTATTCAGAGATAAATAGAAACTAATACTTTAAGGAGGGGAACATAGAAAAACAAAACACACAAGACACAAAGTGACAAAAGCAAGAACACAAAAAGGTGATTGCTTGAAAGGCAGCACTGAAGATGGAATGATTGGCATTGGGTAGAATATTAGGAAAAGCTTTCTGGACTAGGGGCCATCTGAATGGATTCTCAAAAAATGATAACTAGAATTTATTGAGAACTTACTATGAGCAGTGAATTGCATTAAGTGTTTTACATACAGCTTCTCATTTAATCCTCACCTCTATTCTAAAATGGGTAGTTTTCATTCCTTCACTGAGTAAAAAACTGAGACAGACAGGTTGACTAGGTTGCTGGTGCTCAGACAGCCACTGTATCAAACATAGTCCAACAAGATCACAACAATTATTTTGTTTTTTCATATGTAAAATTTAGCCAGATATTGAAGAAATTGAAAGCAAAAAGAGAATAAAAAATAACAGAAGTAGAATTGCATCAAGCAGTTAACCCTCCTAATGCTTAGGGAATTAATAGAACCCAGAAGCTTGGAGGAGTAAACCCCAAGCTAAAACACTGTCCTCTGAGGAGGAGACACTGATTAATTAATGCTGATATCTTAGCCAGGGAGAGCCACAATGGAGCTGGGATCTAGACCTCCAAGGAAACAGTACAGTAACCTGGTGCTTTTCTCTGAGGGGATGTGATGAGGCTGGTTCTTTGAGTTTGGGGTCAACTACAAACTGGAAATACTGCAGGAAAAGAGAATGAAGTACTGCTGCCATGGTGAAGAAGTATTACTGGGTTGACACTGTTTGAGACAGGATCAAGCAGGAAACAAAACAAGAAGAAAGTCCACTTTTCCTCCCTCTAGGCTTCTGATACCCCTCTAGGGCCTCCTAACAAGGAGCAGCCAGCAAAGGAGAAATGTAGTTAACACAGTCCCTGCCCCCAGCATCATGAAGCCAAGAATACCTAAGAGAGTTGAGGGCTGAGAGACAATAGCTTAAAAACTGGCACAACCATGCAATCTTGCTTTCCTTATGGCCTTTTCACTCTCCACTCTCCTAGATGACAATTTCACTCTTGCTCCTCTTGTTTTACATCACTAATACTTCCTCTTTCATTGTCACACTCAGTTAATAACCTTGCTTCCTACTTCACTTAGAAGAATGAAGTGATCAGAAGAAAATGCCAGATTGCCTCCATCGTACCTAGCCATCTACCAGCAGAATTCTGTTATTGTAAAAGTTCTGTGTTGTACATAAATACCCCCACCTAGAACCAGGTACATGACCTGTGCACTAGATTCCATCATTTCTTGCTTCCTCATGTACACCACTCCAGCAATTCTCTCCTCTCTCTGTGAGTTGGTGGCAGTTAATACCCATCAGAAACCCATGTGTTTCTCTGTATTTCCCAGCTTCCCTTCAGTTAGGTTAGGGCTATGTGATTAATTTTGGCCAATGGCCTCCAAGCAGAAGTGAAAAGCATCCATTTTAAAAGGCACTGTAACAAATTTAAGATGTGGTTTCCCTTCCTCTCTCTCTTCCCTTGCTATCTCAGAGGCTAAATAATGTTCCAGATGGTGCAATTACAAGATGGAAGGGCCTTCATTATTATGAACACCTGTGTAATTGTGTGGCCCTCACAAGATAATGACTTTTGTAACTGCAGCCCAGACTTCTCTCCTGGATTAAAATACTATTTTTGTAACTCTAGCCCACATTCATATAAACAACTGCCTATTTGATATCTTTATGTGCTTGTTTAATAACTCAATTTGCCTAATACCAAATTCCTAATCCTGCCCCATCTTATAGGCATCCTCCCCTCTAATCTTTCTTGGCTCTACTTCTGAGATCTATTCCAGCACTAACAGTCCAAGCCTAACACCAACATTCACATCATTGCCCAATATTTACCACTGGACAATGCAGAAACTGTCACCTCAGTAATGAGAGAAGGAAAGTAAAGTGAAATACCAAGTTCTGGAATAAACAGGAAAATTTCATCAGGAAATATAAATTACTCCATGATTTGATTACCCTGAAAAGTATCTTTACGAAATATGTTTTTCAAGGGAGAAGCAATGCAGGTGTGTTGATTTCCTAAAGTTGATGCCTACCATATCAGTATTGAGTTTTTTCAGGACCGTTAGGGTTTAGCAATTCAGTAATATTTTAATCCCAAATATTAATGAAACTCTTCTGGACAAATACAAACTTACCTAAAGCAATATTCTACTTCCTGCTGCTGTTTTGACTTGCAGTTGATTGATGAATACATTAATTGAATTAACGAATTAAAAGTCTCAGGGTATAGGATTTGAGGGTTTTTTTTTTCCCAAAATCTATATATTGTAATATCTCTACTATTGTGCAAATGTTTATTCTCGGGCAAAAAGAATTCTTTTGTTGAAGGATAAGTGGTAAATTCTACAGTGTTTAAAAGCTACCAAGATGAAGGGGGAAGAGGCGGCGGAGGAGCAGAAAGAGGAAAAGGAGGAGGATAAGAAAAAGAATAAAAATAATTGTGTATTCTCATCAGCTATGTTTGATCACAGTGCTTCCCTCAGAACTTTCTTATTAGAACATGAAAAATTATCTAATCTAAGATCCTGAAAGACCATCTCCACAGCTTTATCTTTATAAAGGATTGGAGGTTGAATGGAAAGGGAATCTGCTTCTTGTTTATGAATTCAGAACTTACTGAGCCAGGGAAATCTACTCTCCTTTCCCCATCCAAGTTGATACAAGGTGCTGAACTTTATGAGTAGGTGGAAACCAGAAAAAAAGGCTTCGTCTTTCTGGGGCATTAATTATTCATAGAAAGTACTGCCGTAAAGAAATGCCAACACAGGGTATTCTTATTTCCCTGACCGTGGACTTTTGCCATGTCAGAGGCAATTTTGGAGTGGAGAATAAGGCAATGACAGAAATTCTTGTTCATCAATCTCACGTATATGCCCAATAAAATCCCCTATTCATCTCTATAAAAATGGAGGAGGAGTTAGAAACAAACCAGGGCACTGGTTCATTAAATCTCTACTGATTCCCGTTTGAAGAACGCAATTTAACTTCAAAGGAAACCCTAAATTCGCATCTGATCCTAATTCCATTGTACAGGTTAACTCACCATGGTTTACAATATCTTCAGTACAGCTGGTGCCCTTTCTTCTTCTGCAATATCCCAAAATACTCCTAAACTCAACAGATTCAGGGAAATAATGTTTGATAGTACTGTTGGACTGTGTATAACAACCATAGGGTTTTAATGGCTGTAAATAGGATAATTATGTTTTTGACAAATGGATATCCCTTTGAAGAAAGGAAATATAGGGCAATTATAATGATACATTGTCTCCAGGACTTGACTGACACTCCTGAAAGGGGTGCAATTCAGCTTAACATCTCTCATCACTTCCTGGCTTTATGGTCGAAGAAGCACAAGTTTGTTTTTCACAACTGTCAAGGGCTCCTGCCACATCTGACCACCATCTTCTTCCCCCATTGGGGTTTTATGCCCATAATTTCAAAAGCACCCCTGATTCTAACACATTATCTTCCATCTCTCTAGACAAATATGTTCCCCAAATGAGTTATTTCTTCCAATAAACGACTGAGAGTGAAAGAATGTATTCTCATTACAGTCCTCATTGGTGTCATGAAAAACATGTCCTGCCATGATTTTGGTGATAAAAAGATGACTTAACCCAAACTCTCTCTTTCTTGATTTTATTTTAAACAACACACACTAACATTTTAAAATAGAATTTAAACAGGTGCCCAGTAACAGAATGACAAACGTTAAGTGTGAAATCAGAAAGTTAAAAAACTAAACCGCAGATGGTCACCTTTTTATTTTTTTTAACATCCGCCTGCGCTGGACTGTTAAGTGGCCTCATCACTGTCAAGCCAGGCAGGATTTGTAAAACTTGGGATGTGGGTATTCAAAGATGACATTTGCTTGGTGCCTTTAATGATTTCTGTAATTAGTCATTTAAACAGATTGCCCTGTGATCCAAAACAGGGAATACAGAGAGATGAGCTGAGAAAATCATTTCCTGGAGGCACTTTAGAGCTAATTGTGGAAAATGAGGCTTGTCTCTTTGCAAGACTCTCTGGATCTTATTTCACTGGGTGGGGATGGAGCTGGAGAGCAACATTCTCCAGGAATCTATAAAATGTATATGCCTGGGAGGTGTTTTTCTTTTTAACACTACAGTGCTAAGAGACTTTTGTCAGGTCACAAAATTTAACAGATATTAAGTGATCCAAATTTGCCCCTGGCAATTCAGAAACCAGAGAAGGAAATGCACCTGGTCAGAGAAAGTTGAGGCTACATGACAGAGAAAAGCCAAGGACATGATATTTCACAGGAATAGTGTAAGACTTGGGAGACCTATGACTTTGTCTTCATCGCACTGGACAGTTGTACTTTTTGTTAATAAATGTCCTTGGAGTGACAATTCTGCTTTTCAAAGATAAAAGTGGAAGCTTTCAGAGAGAGTCAGAAAGGGATCCGACTATTTTAATTAATTCATCACTCTCACTAGGTAACAGCCTCTCAGTAAATGCCTTCATCCCAGCAAGCCTCCATTGCTTCCTCAGAGAAACAGCTGTTTAATTCTCACCAATAATTTTGCCGCTGTCTTGTGGGAACTGTGTTGATAACTCAAAATTTCTCAAAAGTTTAGATGATTTAAAATTCTGTGCCCACTCATGTTTGTACATAATAAAAACTAACAGTTAACATGTACTGAATGCTAACTACGTGCTATGCACAGCTCCAACCTTTTAAAGTGTCCTAATTTATTAAACTCTCACACATTTGAACAGGGAGGTTTTACTGATCAGGAAATAGAGGATCAGGGCATTTAAGTAACTAGCTTGAGGTCACAGAGCTAATAAAGGGAAGAGCTAAGATTCAAACTCAGGCAATCTAGCTTGAGAACTGATGCTTAATGTGTAAACATCCTTTCTTTCATGTCCTTCAACATTCCCATTTCCCATCTGTAACCAAACATATGGAAGGCATACATTTCTTTTATGGGTCCTAACATCACCATAGAGCCCTAGATAAATCTTAAGTGGGTGCTGGATGACGGTGAAGCATATTAAAAATGGAGGGTGGTGGTAAAGTTGACCTGATTTCACCACTCAGAAGAATAGAGTGTTGCTTTGAAAGACATAAAGGAATGTAGATGACCGGTTGATGAGTGCAGCAAACCACCATGGCATGTGTATACCTATGTAACAAACCTACATGTTCTGCACATATACCCCAGAACTTGAAGTATAATAATACTGAGAAAAGACATAGAAGATCATTAACGTCTTGATAGCTGCAGAGGATACAACACCATGAAGTAAAGAATTCAACTACATTATTCCACTTACTTCTGGTGGCCTGGAGTTCTAACCACACTAGGGAAATGGTAATGGGAGTCAGAACTTCAGAATTGATGGATGGTGCGTAAAGCCCCTGAGTAGCATCTGTTTTTTCATCTCAAAATCCTTAAAATCTCTGTTGTAGATTGCCTTGCATTTTGCCACATAAACATCTACTGTTCAGAGTTTTCAGTCTAGCTCACTAAAAAAGCAGAATTTCAGGCAAACAGCAGAAACACCCTGCACCCATGGGACAATTCCTTTGGTTGACACACAAATCTCCCTCCCTAATGATTACCTGACATTCAGTGAATTTCTGATATAAAATCAAATCTAAACATGGGTTTCAAAAGGAAGCAGAAGCAAAGAATTATACTAAAACTTGTGTGTTTGCCAAGTCACCTAGTCTTTAGGGTGTCCTATGCAAAATATGGAAAAGCAAAACCATTCAGTGGTCCTTGAGACAGGAAAAATGATTTGGCATAAACCATTCTTTCCATTTTGAGAATCGGATGTGGCAGGAGACACTGGGAACCTGAGGGGCTCTAATCCTGGTTGCCTAAACATGCTCATTGAGGTGAGGGATGAGTATATTCATTTCAACTGAGCAGGGAAAGCTCAGCAGAATGCTAAGTAGCCATTTCAGTGGTGCTGATTGATTTGCAGAGATGGCACAGATGTGACCTTCTCAGTCAAAGTCAATGTTTTCTTGGCCCTCAAATTTCAGAAAAAAAATACAAATATAAATGATAAATAATGACAAGGCCCAGATATAGTCTCAGAGTCATTGCCTCAACAATTATTAATGCCTGCTAGGTTTCTAGTACCCTGCTAGAGTCTGACAACAGCATAAAAATAATCTAAGACCTATCTCCTGTTCTCTACAATATTCATGACCATAAAGTTGCAAAAAGTATGTAGTTTTAAAAATCACAGCGTGGAGAGTTTTCTTTGCATCACGTATTTTGCTTTTTCAACTAAAAGCTAACAGACAAACATAAGTGTGCCTTGCGCCTAGTCTTCCTTTTGTCTAGAATGCCTTCTCTTCTTCATCTGCCTGGAGAACCTCCATATGTAATTCAGAGTCCAACAGGGTTGTCACCTCAGTGACATGAAACCTCACTGGCCATGCCCATCCAGCAATATCTATCGCTTTCCTTTTATACCCCACTACATCACTGCAATTCAAGATATTACTGTAGCTGCCTGTGTATGTGTCTAGCTGTCCCACTCAATGACCTCCTGTGGTTGACAATCTTCTAGACTATGGCTCATCTTTAGAAGCATCTCTGGGTAACTTTTAAAAATGTAGAAGTCCAGGTTCCAAACCAAACCCATTGACATAGGATTTCCAGAATGTTGGCCTGCATATCTTTAGTTTACTCTCCACAGATAGTGTTGAGTTGCTACCAGGACATAGAAGCACTTGCTACATCTGATTCCTCTTTATAGTTCCAATGCTAAGCCCAATGTCTAGTACAAAGCAGTGCTCAGATCATGCTCGTGGACTGAATGAATCGGTTGCATCTGCTTTATTCCTTCTTGCAGGTAAATATCTAAATTATCTGTAGCAACAACTTGCTGGGGTCAACTCCAATGTTTTTGTCGGCTGTTCTTGAAGACTGCTGGGTCTCTACAATCACATTCTTTGGCTGGTGCCAGTGTTTAAGCACTCTGGTAGGTGAAAATATTTTCTTTTGAACAGTGATTACATAAAGTTTTGAAATAAACAAGTTAGAATTTAGAAATAAGAGGGATTTATTGCCAAAATGTGACAAGTAAATAAAAATTAGTTTAAGTGCCTCTCTGTATATTCATATATATTTCCAATTCAGAGTAGAAAAAAAAAAATCACATTACAGCTTAGTGAGAGAACGAAGTTCTAATGGGGTGTTAGCATACAGAGTCATTTTATTCCTGACTTGGCTCTCCTTATTTTTTGTTTCTCATGTTTTGGGAAAATTTTGTGACTATTTTTCCCTTCCACTGATTTCTAGTAAGACTTTCCTGAGTTCAAATTTACCTATGTGTCCTCAAGATGCATTATTGGAAGGGAGATGAATTTTGTACTGCCGATAGTTACAAACAGCTGTTATTTCGGCTCCACTCAGGAATAATCTATATACACATTCCTGTAATTGAACACAGCTACTGATCAGTATATAATCCAACTGATTGATGGATCTCAGTGCCTCTTCCTTCATGGTGAATGGAGCTAACTAAATAGATAAAATGTGCATTGCACCATGACATGAATTGCTTCCTTTGGTTCCTTATTTTCTATGATGCAGAAACTGCATAGCAGCATGTTTGAAGGCCGCCTGTCAAATTTGGGAAGCTGACATGTGACTGAGCTAGTCACGGGGGTCTTCACAGAAAAGGCAGTCTGGATCCTGGTCGACTGGAGATTCCATCTGAATGGTGAGTGAGTACACCGTAAAGCTTTTGCTGAGGGCTCTAGCAATTTCTCTCCGAACCACTTGGCTCTCCCGGCTGGCTGCTGTTGATAAAGAACCACAGGGAGATTAGCGCTGATTGCACACGCATGGGTGACTGCTGTGACTCCAACTTCAAGTACTTTGTCTTTGACCTCCTGGGGCAGGGCAGAGGCAGGCCACTCAGAGGAAGCCATGTTGGCTCTGATAATCAGCTACACTCACACAGACAAGGCAGGGGAAACTCTGGTACAGGAAAGTGCCCTGTCGCTATGGGAACTCTTTCTGTCTGCTATTATCTCTGGAGTCTGGCATTCCTAGGAGCTTAGTATGGAAGGGGAGACAAGCCCTGGAAAAAGCCAAGACAGAACTATTATTTCTTATACAGCCCTGCTCACCAGCTCCCAGGGATCTCTGGGTTGCAGGCCTTGTATGTAATCAGAATTTATATCAAGGATAGTGACAGGAACCAAGAAGCGTTTAGAGCTCCCCACAGACCTTTCTTAGAGCAGCAACCCTCACTGCCATATTGTTTTCCTGTCCCAAATGCTATCAGCAGGCTGTAAAGCCCCCTCCATAGCAACCTGAGTGTTTACTAGATTCTTCCATTTGCAGTGAAATATTGGCATAGTGAATGCTGTAAATTCCCTGAAGTCAGACCTGAGCCCCTTGGAGAAGATGAGGATGTCTGAGAAAGCACAGTTTTCAAATGACTGTCACTAGTATTCCTGTCCCCTGCCCCTAAGTAACTTCTTGAGTCATTTTTTAGCAGCCTAATGTATTATCTTTGGCCTGAGCTTTCTCCTGAGGCAGTAAATGCTCTCTCACTACCTAGTCTCCCAGCTCTAGGACATATCAGAGACAAAAATTAACTTCTTGAAAAGGTAATTTTTAGTATAAACCTAATATTATAAGAATTTTCTCACATGGCTGCAGAATTTCTAACCACACAGTGTGGGACCCGCCATAATTCCTATTAGCACATCCATTTGCTTGTTAGAAATTGAAGAGCGGGGCCTGTGTCTCTTTCATCTTCCTATTTTCAGTTCTAGGAAAAACATCATATATAGAGGAGATACTCAATTAAGATTAAGTTTTTAATTCATTCCTATTATTTGACTGATAGGACACCAAGCCAAACAGATGAAGTTGAATTTTCAGAGTCCAAGGCCTTGAAGTTGGGGTTGCATTTTAGCCCTTTGTTCTGTCTGTCCTCGGCCCTCTGCAGTCAGCCCCAACGATGTCATGGGTATCATTGTTGCTATGACAACATCAATAAGTGGGCTAGTTTCAAAGGCCCTTGGTAATAGAAAACACTTTATAATGTTTTGACAAGCAACAGACAATAAGGGCAGCTCTACAAAAAGGAGGGAAATTACTGACTTTACAGGACAAGGACTGAATTTTTTTCCAGGGTGTTTACAAAACTCACTGACCTGTAGCAACATGAGCTGAGAGAATTACTTGATTCATTGTTAGAGACCAGATGTGCAGGCTGTGCACAGACACCACCCCGTCGACTGCTAAAATAAGCTCTTTCACACCATTGTAATTCAGGCTCTTTGGCACACCTGACAAAAGGTAAGAGATGGAGGCTGTAATTATTCAACTAAATACAGCTCATTGAATTACCTAAACAAGCTGCAAAGTCCTCACCCAAAGTTCAAGGTGCTTATCCCTTTGCTGGTTTCTTACTTCAAATGTTTACAAAGAAGATTTACCTGACTACTTGAAGGTTTACCATCAACCAAAAGTTCCCACTCAGAATACTTGCAGAATTTACTGTGCAATAACCAACAACGGTAATTATCCTTAGTTTTTACGGTATACTATTAAACTAACTGTGCCTTTTCCAACTATCTTTATATACACTCTGGAAAGTAAAATGAATAACATGAAATTTGGTATCAAATAATCATGGGTTAGCATGCTGATGACAACTATTGTGAATTTACCCAAATCCCAGAACTTCTCTGATCCTCAGCACATTTGTAGTAAAATAAGGGTGATAAGAACAACACATAGATCACAGAACTCTTTGAGGAGCAATTCAGAAAATATCTAAACGTTATGAACGGCAATGTTGTACAAAGATTAGTTACCCAACAGGTCATTTAGTGAACTGTGCTAATAGAAGATCCTAACATTGTATAATACCGTCTTATTCCTTTTGTAAATTTTCCATTATTTTAGCTACGCTGGAGGATGCTGTATAAGAGATGTCTAAGTACGGCCCTTTTTTAGCCTCTACTTCAGTTATGTACAAACAACACAAACACCTGGGCTGTTTATTAAAAACAAATGTACCACGACTCCATTCCAGACCTAAAAGGAAATTTCTATGGATGAAGCTCCAAAATCTAGAGTCTTTCAGAGTGGTTTTCAACCTTGGATGCACATTAGTATTACCAGAGGAGATTTTAGAAATCCTGATGACGAAGTTATAATCTAAGACCAATTAAATCAGAATCTCTGTGGATAAGGCCCAACATCAATGCTCATTTGGTGATTCTATCAGGCAGCCGAGATTGAACCACTGCACTAACATGCATGAGCCACTGAGCAGCTCTGCTTTGCAGTGGTTCTCTAACCTGACTACATATTTTTAAAAATACCAAAGCCAGCCCCAACCCCAGACAATTAAATCAGAATCTCTGGGTGATATAGTTTGCATATGTGTCCTTGCCAGTGTCTCATGTTAAATTGTATTCCCCAATGCTGGAGATGGGGCCTGGTGGGAAGTGTTTGCGTCATGGTGCCAGATCCCTCATGGCTTGGTGCTGTCTTTGCGATGATGAGTGAGTTCTTGCAAGATTTGGTCATTTAAAAGTGTGTGGCACCTCCCTGCCCTTGCTCCATTCTCATCATGTGACGTGCCTGCTCCCCCTTTGCCTTTTGCCACTATTGGAAGCTTCTTGAGGCCTCCCCAGAAGCAAATGCCACCATGCTTCCTGTATAGCCTACAGAACCATGAGCCAATTAAACTTATTTTCTTTATAAATTATCCAATCTCAGGTATTTCTTTATAGCAATGTGAGAACAGCCTAATACACTGGGTATGGGAAGCCTGAGAATAAGTATTTTTTAAAAGCTTCCCAGAGGATGATAATGAGCAGCTAGAGCTGAGAACCATCTACTTAAAGAAATGGGGAACCCTTAACCCTCCTTTTGAAAAATTTAACCCATTTATGCCTGAGGTTGCAATTTTTTGAATTTTTGTAATGAGACCTTGGCAATGACCTTGAGCAGTAGGATATAAATAACTCCCACATGCTTAGCATTCCAATAATGGAACACTAGGCATAAATAGGCTAAGAACCTTGTTCATGGGGGATTTCTTCCTTGAAGTTAACTCAAAATTCTCTACAGCATAAGCTGAGTTTTTGATCCTACCTAATATTGTTTGTGGAAGTAACAAAGAGCTGGTCATTATGCTGTTTTACTCTATGAGTGGCAAGAGACCTAGGCTCCTAGAAGCAGATGAAAGGAGTTCTTGTCTCAAATTAGCCATGCAATGTGAATAAAGTCATGGGTAAAACTGTTTTAATAATAATAACAAACTTTTATTGAGGGCCCACTATGTGTAAAGTTTGTGCAAAGTACTTCATTTATAGCAATTATCTCATTTAATATTCCTAAAAACTTTAGAAGCTAGTTATTAAGGTTACTTAACTAGAGGAGAGGAAATTGGGGTCAGTTAGATTAAGGAACATTGCTAAGGTCACAAAGAGAAGTGGCAGACTCAGGGATATCAGATCCCAACGTCTGTGCTCTGAGTACAAAGTGTTATGCAAATACTAGAGTCTAGGAATTACAATCGAAACATTATCTGTTACGCCTAATGTGTGTCATCTCTTTGGGGAATTACCATTTGAAGACCTGCTATCATTCATCTAGGCCCTTTGAAATTAAGTCATGATCCCACTACCCTTTTTTCACTTGTCTCCTTCATCTCATTACTATTATAGAGAACACAGGTCCACCATGACTTATTTTATTATAAGAAATAGTGTTGCCAGGCAAGAGGCATGGCCCCTCTGTCCTTGATGCTCCATCACATCCTAGAACTTTCTTTTGCCTGGGGGGGAGTCTGAAAAAAATATTAATGCATCCAGAAAAATATCTAAATTAGTGTTTAATAAATAACTTCCCAGACTTACAAATGTATTTTAAAAACCACTGAACACCATTCATAGTTAAATAATTGCATTTGAAATCAATAAGATACACTATTTCACCTATCAGAGTAGAAAAGAATGAACAGTTTGATAATACTCAGTGGTTGTGATGATGTGAGGAAAGGAGCATTTTCATATGCTGTTGGGGGGAAGGAAATTGATACTATATCTTTGGTAGAAATGGTAATATCTATCAAATTTTGAAATGCATGTGATATAGTTTGGCTGTGTCCCCACCCAAATCTCACCCGAATCTCACCTTTAATTGTAATAATCCCCAGATGTCAAGGGTGGGGCCAGGTGAAGATAATTGAATCATGAGGGCAGTTCCCCCATACTGTTCTCGTGGTAGTGAATAAGTCTCGTAGATCTAATGGTTTTACAAATGGGAGTTCTCCTGCAAAAGCTTTCTTGCCTGCTGCCATGTAAGGTGTGACTGTGCTCCTCCTTTGCCTTCTGCCATGATTGTGAACCCTCCCCAGCCATGTGAAACTGCGAGTCCATTAAACCTCTTACTCTTTATAATTACCCAGTCTCAGGTATGTCTTTATGAGCAGTGCAAAAACAAACTAATACAGCATGTAAGTTTTGAAACAGCAATATCACTTCTAGGAATTATTCCACAGATATTCAAGTGCTAAAAATATATATATCCAAGGGTGATAATTACATCATTGTTTATAATGTCCATCACAAGCAAGTCCTTCCATGCTGTGGAGTAATTACAGCTGTGAAGAACGGGGTATATCTATGTATGTGCTAATATAAAAGATCTCCAAGTGAAAAATGTCAGGTGCAGAGAAAAATGTGAATCAATATGTAATCCCATTTTTATTAAAAAAAAGGCACACACATACATCACATACACATATACATATACGTGTGTGTGTGTATATATATATATATGCAAATGCACAAATATCTTTGGAAAGATAAATGTCAACTTATTAATAGGTATTATCCCTGAAGAATAGGACTGAGAAGGCAAAGATGGAAATATAAGGAGACTTTTTTAAATTATTGCATACTTTTCTGTATTATTTTTAAATTTTACTAAGTACCATACTAACATAATTTGAAGACCTAATTTAAAAAGTAAGTGTCTTCCAGAAAGGAGTTATCTGCTAGTTTCTATAATTAACTGATGCAGACCAGTCTCTGCACTTTTCCTGAAGTAAAATAAGAAAGATAATCACCAAGGAAGAGCTATAGTGAGACACACAAAAAAAGTGGAATATAACTCATTTCAAATTGTACACCAACTTGTCTTTTATCTTTCTTTAAGTCAATAACTTCCATAATAGCAACAACAGCTGCAGCTCAGCACTTGGTGCTCAGGAAAGAAAATGGATGCTTCTGTGGCTTGACAACCCAAATATTAGAGCCAGAAAATTCACTGTTACTATGTGACATTTGACTCCTTTATCCATTTCACTGTTGTCAACACTATCATCTTTCAAAAATTGTAGTGACCACCAAGAACAAACCTTTAAATGTATACTTAGCAGTGAACGCTAATGAAATGTGAGCTGTCACTAAAGGCAACTGCACTCTGAGACCAGATCTACCTTATGTCAAAATGTGCTGGACAAAAAAAAAAAAAAATCAGCTAATGTCTGGATATTTCAATCATTCGGATATTTGATATGATGCAAACTTATAGCTCTGGCTGAATTTTACAGGTGCCATTCCCATGGCCAGCATGTGAGAATCCCTTCAGTGGTACGAAAAGATTAGTCCAGTGGTTCCTGAATTGTTGTCCTGGGACCAGCAGCAACAGCATCTTGTTAGAAATTCAAATTCTTGCCCCTCCTACTCCCCAATAAGATATACTGACTCAAGAATTGTAGGAGTGGGTTCAGATATCTGTGTTTTAATAAACCATCCAGGTGATTCTGATGCCACTAAAGTTTGAGAACTGCTGGGTTAGTCTAATAAGGGTTTTGGACAAATATGTATGTCCAAATACCTATTTTATAATACCTATTTTCCTGGAATGTGGGATAGAAAATGGTATCATTTGTTAATACAAATGGTCAATGTAGCAATGATAAATCACCTTCACCTTCTAAATATAATTGAGTACCTTGGGTCTCCAATAAACCTTATTTTTAAATTTTAAACAGTTTTAAATTGACAATAATTGTACATATGTAAGGGACACACAGTGCTATTGCCATACAGATAATGCATAGTGATCAGATGAGGGTAATTAGCAAATTCATCATGTCATACATTTATTATTTCAGCCTGTTGGGAACATTCAATATCTTCCTTCTAGCTATTTGAAACTATATATTATTGTTAATTGTATTATTGTCATTCTATAGTGCTATAGAACATTAGAGCTTATTCCTCCTATCTCATTGTAATTTTGCATCCTTTAACAACTCTCTCCCTATCCTACTCTTCCCCTTCCCTGCCTCTGTTATCTGTTCTACTTTTTACTTCTATGGGAACATTTTTTTTTTTTAGCTTCCACATATGAGCCAAAACATGTGATGTTTAACTTTCATTTCCTGGCTTATTTTACTTAGCATAATGTCCCCCAGTTCCATCCATGTTTCTACAAATAACAGGATTTCATTGTTTTTCATCACTGAATAGTATTCCATTGTGTATATACACTGCATTTTCTTGATCCATTCATCTAGTGTTGGACACCTAGGTTGTACTCCCACACTTTCCCTTTGATGCTCCAGTCAAATCTCCTCTAGTTATTTGTTGCCTTGGCCCTTTCTTATTGGGGGGACTAGCCCCAGCATCTCTAGTCAGCCATCTTGCTGATGTCACTCTCTGACATACTTTAATATTCTAAGATAATGTCAACGGGAGTCAGTAGTTCTCCCATTCCAAGTACCACTGAATAGTTCTTCTGGTGATGAAGATGGATTTATTCTGATCAAGACTCTCTTATCTGGCCTTTCTGAGGCCATCAGCATCTATGGCTGACTAGTGCTATCGCCACAGTCTATAACCAAGAATTGGGAATTTCTTCCTGTGCAGGTAAATATACAGTATAGTGTTTATTTCCACAATGTAGCTTCATATTTCCTATATTCCAGTCAACACAAAAATGCTAGCTGATAGTTTATATTTACCAAGCTTCCACTGTGTTCTAGCGTAATGCCATTTATTTCATCTAATCGTCTCAGCAACACTGTATCGTGGATGTGATACTCCCATTTTTGAGTTGCGAAACTGAAGTTCAGAGGAGGTTACCTGAGGTCTCACAGCTAGAAACTTGCATGACTAGCATTTGAACGAAGGTGGGTCTGATACAAAGACCTTGCTTTTTCAACTATATGATATCTCTCTGAGCTAACTCTGCCAGTAAAGATGTAGCCTAGAAAGGGCAGAAACCAGTAGTTCTTCAACCATTTTATGCCAAATGAAAAGAAAATCACCAAATTGCAGAATGGGGGAAAGGAGGCAGGCAGTAAGCTTTCGGCATAAGGATGGATTTCTTTGCAGTGAGGGTTATTTATGTGATCTGTTCCTGGATAGTTGGAAGACTCAAAGAGCCAGACAGAAATTTCACAGGCCCGGGAGAGTAGTCAAGGATAATGATAATGGGGCTGTAGGTGATGAGGTTAATAACATAAGATCCTACTCGGGCCTAACAGCAGGCCTCAGCAAAGCCTCTGGGACCACTGGCCCCTGCTCCCAGCCATGTTAAGATCTCTAATAAAAGACCCACACCTCTTCTTTGTAGCAGTTCCCACTATTGCATTTCAGTGTAATTTTTTGAATAATCTCTTTCTCCCCTTATTAAAGTATTATCCCCATGAGGACAAAGCTTTCATTTTTTTAAAATTTTATTTTGTTGAGGTAGGGTCTTACTCTGTCACCCAGGCTGGAGTACAGTGGCACCATCTCGGCTCACTGCAGCCTCTGCCTCCCAACCTCAAGTGATCCTCCCACCTCAGGCTCCTGAGTAGCTGGGACTACAGGCTTGCACCACAATGCCCAGGTAATTTTTTGTATTTTTTGTAGAGATAAGGTTTTCCCGTATTGCCCAGGTTGGTCTCAAACTCCCGGATTCAAGCAATCCTCCCACCTCAGCCTCCCAAACTGTAATTCCTGGAATTATAGGCATGAGCCACTGTGCCCAGCCCATATTTCATTTTACTATACTTTATTTTGAGAGATGGGGTCTCACTATGTTGCCCAGGCTGTAGGGCAGTGGCTATTCACAGGCACAATCCCACTACTGATCGGCACAAGAGCTTTGACCCACTCTGTTTCTGATCTGTGCCAGTTCACCCTTCCTTAGGCAACCTAGTGGTACCCTGTTCCCAGGAGGCCATATTGATGTTGAACTTAGTGCAGACACCTGAACGTCATAGCACACTACAGCCCAGAACTTCATAAGAGAGCTGTGTTCTGCTCTGCTCCTCTCTGTAACTCCAGTTCTGAGCACATTACCTCGCACAGAGCTGGGGCTCAATAAACACTTGCCAAACAAATAAAGGGTCACCCTTGTTTTCTTCTACTCAGAGATACAATTTGAAAAAAAAATGTTTAGCTCTAATGCAGCCTAGGAGGTAAATTTATGTAGTTTTTTCTTAGGTCTTTTCCAGGTATATTTAGGGAATAATTTATATTTTTGCAGTATCTCCTCATGATGTTTATACTTATTGTTTTTACACTGTGAAATATTACATAACAGTTGCTAGAGCAGGAATAGAAGCCAGTTCTTTTCACTTGTTCCCATATGAAAAAAATCAAACGATCGTTTTCACAAAAATTCCTTATCACTTTAAATTTTTTCCATAATTCAAATTAACAGTGAGCATGCCTTACAGTCATGCCCTTTTGTGATTCTAGGGAACAGAAAACACTGACCCTGGGAGTAATAATAAAATCACTCCTACCTTCCATGAGTAAGATGGAGAAGTCCTTTAAGATAGTGATGGTGCTGGCCAAAACCAGGATGGAAAAGATGAATGTGCAGATTGGGTCAGCTAGTTTATACTCTGGCTAGAAAAAAACAAGGATTTTGGTTAACTGAATTCATACCTCTCTTCCAGAAAGTCTGATTAATAAAATAAGTAAACCTCCCTGCGTCTTTCCTTCTCTGTCACTCATTCACCCTTTTGACATGTGTCATCCAACTCAGAGGCAAGACTTGGTTTTTGAAGACTCAATCCTTCCTTTTAGCTTTAAACTACCAGCAAATAAAGAAGTGAGGCTCCAAGACATGCTCTCCCCGTAATTTAAGAACTAAAAGGAAGAATATTCTTAAGTTTGCTCTCAAGAGCCCTGATTTAACTTCTTGAAGATTAATGAAAGTACAGAGTATGTGATGAAAGTATGCATAAATATGCCCACAAGATCCAATGACGTTTTGGCCTTAATTATAATGAGCAGAAGAAAGGATATTACTTGCTCAGAAATTGCATATGGCCAGCATATACCTGGACTATGCTCTTGGTTGACTGGGGTGAGTTTATTTCTTTGCCTCTCAAGTATTGCACATACTCAAGGCTGGCATCTTTGATGCAGTCTTAAGGGTGTGAACCAAAGTGTCATCCTTGCTCAGTCTCCTCACTGGAACCCTTAGCCTCAGGGTGAAATGTCTGCTTTTCTACCCTTGATGAAGTTCTTTGCCACAGAAAAGTATCTTTAAGAAACTCAGCATCAACTCAACTTCTGTAAGTAGACCCTCAAACTCCACGTACCCTTATGATTTTGAACTAGATTTGCCTTAGACTTAAAGCTTTCAGTGATCATTTTGCTCAACTGAATTCAGATATTTTTGTAATTTTTATTTACATGTTTTCCCTTTTTCAGGAAAAGCTGTGAGTCTCTGCAAATTAGACAATTGTGATGCAAACAGACAGAGCTAAATGTTCTTCTCCATTCTGTGCCTGCTAACCCATCTCTGTTATCAGTATTACCAGGTAGAGATCTGTAGTGGATATTTATTTATTTAGGGTCAGAGGCTTACCTGGCAGTCTTTCCCACTTTTCATTAGCACTTTGGCTTTTGGGGGAGAAGCCACCTCTCCCCCATTGGGGCAATACTGGTGGAACAATAAATCAGGTACTCTAACCTCCCTTCAGCCAAGCAGCAGACACAAGACACAACCTAGGTCAATTGGACTCTGTTCACAGAAATATCATTCTTCAGAAGTGACAAAAACAGAAAACAAAATTTGTTGAGACACATTTATTTCAGTGTGGTGTCTCGGACAGAAGTTGGACCGTTTCTAAAATCTAGATATCAAAATTTGCCCTTATTTCTACTTTGACGTCTGTCTAGGAGCACACACAGTAAATTTCAGCCATTAAATATACTTTTTGCTAAAGTGAGCCAGAGATGTTCCCTATTGCTTATAATCCAAGAACCTGAAGGTATTCACAGTTTAGTTGCTATTCATCTTAACACCATGGTTGAGGGTTTGTTTGCTTGCTTTAGCTTTGCAAAGTAGTTTGTATAGGTAAACAGAGGATGCCCATTCTCTTTAAGTTAATGTTGGAGCTTCTGTACTACCTAATCTATGTAAGTACTAGGATGGTGGGTAAACTCAAACTCACCTTAAAGTAGATAATAAGTGCACTAATTAGCACACTGATACTCTGAAATAGATCTCCAAGGGCATGCACAAAAGCAGCTCTGACGCTGGCATTGGCTTGCACTTCCTTGTGATTGTGGCCAAGGCGTCTCTGGTGCAAAACCACAGTTAGTCTGAAAGAGAGAACAATGTTCTTAGCACACATGAGATCAGTTTTCAAAATGTAGGCAGCATAATGGAGGAGCTGGCAATAACATGCATTATCCAAAATGATAGATAGTTGAAGTATTTATGCTTTAAAAAGATCTATCTTTGACTAATGTTTAAATACACGTGTCATAAAATTTTAATACTTTTATACAAAAACAAACCACAGAGACACACCCAGTTTACTCATTCATCCACCTAATGTTTCTCTGTTTCACATTGAAACTGGAAAGCATCACTTCTTAGATGAAAATCAAGCATTTGACAATGAAGGGAGGAAATCTCCTTTATTGAAGGTTGACTGTCAGGCACTGAGCTGGCTTAAAGTCAAGCTTCATTGGGAGCTTAATTAAAAGTACTGGTTTCACACACAAAAAAAACACAGGAAGGGATAAATAAGGGAAAAATAAAATAAGTAGTGAATTTTATTGAGGCTCTATTTTACCTTTTATTTTACTTAATTTTGTGCATTTTCAAAAGAATTTGAAATTTGAATGATTTCTTAATGTCCAATGATGAGAATATTGTGCTCATGGATATAAAGCTCTTAATCCAGAAGTAGAAATATATTAATGTATTAAAAATGATCTGGTATGTGTACATATATATATACACAATATATTGCAAAGCTGAGCATCTCTTGTCTCAAAGTGATCAATAGCAAATACTACAAACTATGTGCATAATTCTGTTTATCTATACCTTTAAGTGGTATTAGACTAAACGTAAAATTAGAACATTTTCACTGACAGCTCAGTGTTTTGCCTTTCTGAACCTTTTCTAAACATTTTGGAACAAAGATTTAAAAACAGCAACATATTGTTCAACGTCATGTATCCCATTCTATTTTCAGGTAAAGTGTCTGTTAAAACTCAGGTCATCACCACAAAGTGGAATGACCACTAGGCATCAAGATCTGATCACTACAGAATATACAGTTTTCAGATGTTCAGTGTTTGGGTAGAAATTCACTCTCAACTTGGAGTTACCATTTAAGGTCCCTTAGACAGCCTGATATGGCTGACAGATCATAGACCCTCATCTGATCTGCCATGTGTGTTCATCACATTGTCATTCATTCTTTTACTCATCTTATTGACAAAAAGAGACAGGAAAAAAACATATGTAGTCACTCATATGCAGACACTTGTAAAATCTTGGGCCATAAAGGTGAGTGAAAACAGATGTGGTCATTCCCCAGTGTAGCTTTAAATGTACTGGAGAAGGTAAAGTTTAAGCACCCCCCTCCCCCCCAACACACAAAAGTGGAAAATTCTAATTACAGTAAGTCCACCAAGAACTGGTACTATGGGTAATACAACAGAGGAGCCTGATTTAGTTAGAAAGACGTTACAGCTGAGTTGAACTCAAAAGCTTAAGCTAGAGTTAAATATGCTGAGGGAAGGAAATGTTTCAGGCAGTGAAAACTTAGCAGGCAATAGCCTTCAGGCTCTATTTATAACCTTCATCCTAGAATCTCTTCACAACTTCAATTGGAACTTTCTGTCCTGATTTTGAGTCCCCAAGGAATAGATTTATTCCTGAATCGCAGTTCTGATATCTTTATATTCAAACAATACAGCATCTAGCAGCATTTGAAACCTGTAATCCCAGTTTTTGGAGAAAATATTATAGTTACTCAGCATTCTTATCCATCAATAACTATCTACTCGCACAAAGAAGGCAGAGATTTCCAACTGCCTTGACTTTCTGAGTGTAAAAAGCACCTGCAATGTGAAGGTCAATGTTCAAAAGCAGTTACAAGAGAAAGAAAATTTGGATGATATCTGTTTAGAAAATCAAACCTGATCATTGAGGCCCCAGATTGATGTGATAGTTGGGTAGGTTTGTAGCCTTCATCTTTGTGTAGCATCAAGACAGCCTACGTGACATATGACTCTCAGGAAGTTAATACTTGTATTCTTCCTTCTGCCTCAAGACCATATTGTTCTCCTTATGCAAAGCAGACATTATTGACCTGTAGTCAGCAATATGTGTGCTCTGGCATATTTGTCTCCTAGGGGTGATAGATTTACATTGATCGACTCACACTTTTTCTCCCAGTGCCAATGTGAAACACATTTTCAAGTTAACTGGCTGAAGATAGGGATCTAGTCACTGACAGCAGATCAAACACCATTCTTCTAATTATTTAGCTCAGAGATTTTGAGCAATGGCTCACAAACTGAGAGCTGGGTAAGTGAGATGTCAAGAGGCAAGGCTATTAGAATGAACTGAGGACCTTTTTCAAAGTGTACGTGCTCAGCTATTCTTGAATTCCAGAGATGCCATTGTGCCCCCTCTTAAAATCCACTGTTTAAAACTTCATTTTTCGATCACTGTCTTCTCTACTTTCATGTGAAAATCTACCTCAGAGCATATATCAAGTTGCATTGCAAGATAGATAGGCAGATGATAAATAGGCTGAGTTTCCTATTGCTTCTGTAATAAATTACCATAATGTTTTAGCAGCTTAAAACAACACAAACTTATAGTTCTGGAGGTCAGAAGTCTACAGTGGGTCTCTAGGACTGCATCTTTTCTAGAGGTTCTAGAAGGGAATTCATGTTCTTGTCTTTTCCAGCTTCTAGAGGTCACCTGGCTCCAGGCTGCGTTCTCCATTTTCAACATCAGATATACAGCATCTTCTCTCCTCTCTGATCTCCTGTCTCCTTCTTATAAGGATGCTTGTCATTATGTGGGCTCACCTGGATAATCCAGGATAATCCCCTATCTTAATATCCTTCATCACATTTGCACAGTTCCTTTTGCCATATGATTTAACATATTCAGAAGTTCCAGGGGTTAGGATGTTTAAATCTTTTTAGGGGAGTGGGTCATTATTCTGTCCACCAACATGATAGCTAGCTAGATCACTAGACAGAGAGATGGGTGGATGGAGTTTTAAGTAGAGTTGCCCAGAATTAGATCCTCAAATGGGAAGGAGAAATTTGACTCAAAAAGATCAAAGTCCTGACCTCAAAACCCCATTGCCTGAGCAATCCAGTAGTTCATTTTAGGAAAGGGAGACTCATTTGTCAAGGGACATATGCTCAACTCCTGTAAAATTATTTAAGACTGCCTAGATAAAAGAATGGACCAGCAGGTTGAAACCAAAGGGAGAATTTAACTAACATAGCACAAGGAAGAATTTTCATGCAGTCACAATGCTGCAAAGATAATAGAGGCTGTTTTTGAGGGAAATAAATTTCCTTTTATGAGTTCTATTAAAATATATGAAACTAATGACCATTTTATGGAAATGTTGCAAAAGAGAATGCAAAAGTAAAATGGGGACTGAAGTAAATACATTTTAGAGTCCCTTCCAACGCAACCCACGGGGAGGCCATCATCTGCTCACCTCACAAAAATGGAACAGTAGTAAGTTACGCCCCATGTGGAACCATTGACATGCCTGAGAATGTAAAGGAGCTCAATTTCTGGGTCTGTGAATCTGGATTAAAATCCTGGCTCTGTACTACTTAACCTCACTGGGCGTCAGTTTCCTGATCTGTAACATAGGAGTGTTGTGAACATTAAAGTTGGTAATGTATATCCAAACATCCTAACCCTGCCTCTGGCACACCAGAAGCTTTCGAAACATGGTAGCTAGTGGAAGCCAGTATTAAAAAACACTTTAGCTTAAACAAAAGCAGTTAACCTTGTTTTCAATCTTAAAGCCATTCAAACACTCTGTCTGGCCTCTATCATCTTCACAAGTACTGAGTTTTTAAAAAGTCTTTGTCCAGATAGAGTTACAGGAGAGCCTCATGGGCACTGTGCGGGGACCAGGGGATGACTTACATAATGTTGGCTGCCACTGCGCAGCTGGAAACGATGATCATCACAGTCGCCTGGATCTGGTAATCGGGATACAGCAGGCGCTCACACGCCAGGTACACCAGCACGCCAGTCACCACCCAGATGCACAGGATGGAGAGCAGGGCACCAAGGATCTCTAGGAATTCAAACACATGCAGAAACCCACACACAGATAACTCCATCACCTACACCCCCAAAACTCGTAAGACTCTTTGCCGCTTCCCCACAAAAGAGGCTTCACACTAGTTCACTCAGTGATTCACAAAGTAAAAGTCTGGACAGATTTTAAAACTAAGAGAAGGAATTTTAATGTTGCATTCATAAAACACCAGCATCTGAGTCATTATGCTCCATGTTACTAAGTAATTTCTAGCAAATTTTTAGAACATATTAACTGCTGCCTACCCCCCTACC